TTTCTATAAGGCAAAGCGAAATTCTTCAATGCCGTTAATGATTACTGGTAATCTCGATGTCTAAAGACGCCCATTAAGTTATTGCACAAGCTAGAGTTTTCTAGCGCGCCCAAAACGAAATTCGCTCACATCGATATAAAGCAATCGAACCCCCAACTTTTACTCTAAAGTGTCTGAGTTCCAAGGAAAAATCAGCAGATAGCAACTTATTAGCAGCCCATTCTTGAACAAGCGTATGAAATCATTTCTCCATTTTCTCCTCTTCTATAATTTCCTCTATTTACATAAAATTTGCTATGTATGGTTCAGCGGTCTTGTATTTATCTGCCTCAGTGTTTACATCAGGTCTTAAAAGCCTTCATTTCGTTAGCTACTGGTATCTCTTCAACTTCGATAATCTTAATTGGCAAAGAGTTTTAAATGAATGAGCTAAACTGAAGTTTATCCATTACGATTCCTTTAAAAACGTGAAAAATATCTCCTGATTTAAGCTCCACGACTTCTAATTGCTCCTGAGCTTCAACTTCTGTGATGGATTCCGTCATCTTCTCATTAGAAGCTCTGTTTTGTAATTTTCTTTCAATACAGTATGCATATGTCTTCTCCTTCGTCTTCAGAGCAATCAGTTGCTGACATTCAAAGCATGAATATTTTGCGCAGAATTATGAATATGAAGGTTTATTTGAAAAAAAAATCAAGAGCGAAATCATAATCACAAAGCTACGTTTTCAGGCAACCTCAATTTTCAGAAGATTTCAAAAATGTGTCCACAACAGATTCATGAAAAATTGAATGTTTCAACTAACCACTAAACGTCAGTCGAAGCACAAATATTTTAATCACTTACTGACGGTAGATTTCCATTTCCACTTTTGTTTGAATTTTCTCTTTCAGTTCAGAGGGCTTTTGTGTTCTATCTTTCTTCACACGATTACAACAATGACCTTTATTTCCTCTGTAATCCCTGCCACGTTGATCAACAATAAATTGAGAGTAGACAAAAAAATTGCACTTTCAAAGTACGAAATATCTTCTGGTCTAACCCCTACGACTTCTGGCAGTTGCATAAACCCTGATTCTGGAATCGGTTCACTAATCGTTGCCAGTTTAGGCACCATACGTTCTTCTCTTCTGTAATTCCATTTTATTATCTACTCATTTGATGCAGACGCTCCTCCTTTCAGAGTTATTTGAGCAAATTTTCCTTCTTTCCTTGAATCAAATCCATATACATGGCCTAAATACATCCGCAAGTCATCACAGTAATTATATCTGTGCTTGATTCATCATTAACATCTGCATTTGTCCTCTACTTTCAGTGTTAATCTCGAGAATTGAAGTTAGAAATCAGAAAATGACAAAAAATATACTCAAATGTTTGAAGAAAAATAATGAAACTAACCTACTTCTACGACGCTTTTGAGACGACTAATAAGTTTTAAAAGTCAAAAACAGGCAACAAAAAAGTACTCCAAGTGGAACAAATGGAAAAGCTCATTGAAAGTTGCATCAAATCCACTTCCAACTAACATACAGGAACAGAGGTTTAAAAAGGCTTTTCAAAACCTTATTATATTTAACCCTCCCTTAACTAGAGACTAAAATTATGCGAAAAAAAAGAATAAAACGATTTTATGACTTACCAGAAGATTCAACAACTCCTTCAGATTCCTCCTCTGAAGATTCTTCAGGAGTCTTTTTCTTCTTCTCACCTGCTTTACCCTTCGCTCCTATCTTGAACTCATAGGACTTGTCCTTTTCAACCAGTTCCTCTTGAGTAGGTTTGGCTGCGACCTTTGGCTTGGCTGAAAAGATTTAAGTGGACGTAAATTTCACTGATAGCCAAAGTGAAGAAAAGATAAAAAAACAAGTCACTGTAATTTACAAGTATCTAGTTTTTCTGTTTCCGTAACAGCTGGAGAAACTTCAGTTGTTGCTTCATCTAATGGAACAGGAATCTCTTCGGGTTGTACTTCTTCTTCTACAATTGCCGCTTCTTTCAATGGGGATTTCATCACTTCAGGATGTTTCGACTCTTCAAGAACATTAACAAGAACTTCAGTTTGAGAGGATGCCACACCAAATACATTTGAAGCCTGCACTTCGTAGGTACCAGCATCTTCAACAAATGCTTCCGAAATTGTCAACTCGCACAATCCTTGCGCTGGTTCATAGAAGAGCACAGCGTCGGTTTGGCCGGGTTGAAGGATATCACCATTATGCTTCCAGACGACTTCTTGAGGTTGCGGCTTACCTTTCAATACCGCAGAAAGGTAAATTTCCTCTCCTTCGGTTACTCTAATTGGAGAAAGTTCGGTCTCAAAGATTGGGGAGCACGCGTCAGAAGTAGGGGACGGAGTCTCCTCCTTCTCGCTTTCTTCCTCCTCTACTTCGATTTCCACATCTTGAGTAACATCTACGATCAGGATCTCATCTATATAAGGTTGAAATACAATAAATAAACGGAAAAAGTCCAAACTATGATAAGTAAAGCGAAAATTACCAGTAATTTCTGTTTTGGTAAAAATGGTCCTTTTCTCCATTTTGCCAGAGTCCGCTTCGATAACATTACCGACGACAACGCATTTATATTCTCCAACATCTTCCGGTTTAATGTCCTTAACAATCAGGCGAGCGGTACCAGTAGACTCAACGAAAACTATTTCATATTTGTCCGAATCAACCAATTCACGACCGTTATGCGACCACTTAACAGAGATTGGCTCGGTATCACATTGAATTTCACATTCAAGTCTAGAACGAAACGAGGAACAGTAAGAATAGAGACAAACAGAAAGAAATAACAAAACCAAAAAAAAACAGGTAACAAAACTAAATAACAAATAATATAAAAAATGACAGAAGGAAAAATTAAATATAAATAAAACGAATAAATCAAATTGATAAAAAAGAGACAATAAAGAGAAATGCATAAAAATACCCAAGAAAATCTTGTTCAACAGGAGTTGCAAAACAAGTAAGAGGCTTAGAGAAGTAGAAATTAGCCTCCTGCAACTTTGAAGATTCCAACACCGGCTGCTCCTGCACACTCTCCTTCGGCTTCTCCTCCTCCACCTCAGGTATCGCCTCTGCCACTTCCACCACTGTTGTCGTCGAAATGGTTCGGGCACGAGGCAATGCGTCCCCGGTCTCTGGCTCAATCACTGTGCCACTCACTTCACACGTGTACTTGCCAGCATCCTCTGGAGTGAAGTCCTTGATCACCAGTTTCGCCAGACCCTGCTCCTCCACAAACACCTCCTCCAATCGGTCCGAGCGTTGCAGCTCCTTGCCATCGTGGGTCCACTTCACTGTCACTGGTTTCAAGTCAGCCTGGATCTCGCATTCAAGCCTACATTGGGAAATAACACACACACACACACCGTCATTTACAACTCCAATACCCACATCGCTTCACTATCCCCCAAGCATTCACCAAGGTGCAAAAAACTTACTCAACAACGTGCTCCTCGTTGGCAGTGAGAGCGGGTTGCAGTGGCTTGGTGAACTTCAACTCCGCCACCTGTACCTTCGGAGTCTCCAACACTGGCTGCTCCTGCACACTCTCCTTCGGCTTCTCCTCCTCCACCACTGGGATCTCTTCATGCTTTTCTCCAATATCTTTCCTGTTTAAATAGAGATAGATATATTGAAATTTTAAAGTCTTCAGTTTTGCCATGCAATATGTCATTTTTGTTTTCATGCTAATTTTATATTGATATATTTTATGTTCTTTAAAACCGCTTTGGTATTAAATATTTTTCATGCTATTCTCACCAATTCTTAAGACTGACGAAATCACCCGTTTATAAATATAATGGCACCAACATTTAAACTTACGTTATTATTTCTGGCTTTCGAGAGATGACATAGAAATTCAAATGTTAATAGTCATGCACAATTATCATTTTAATTATCTTAGCTTAAATTGGAACATCGGTTAAATTACACGAAATTTGCTAGAATTAACAGAAAATAAGCTGAAGGAAACCGGCTGGCGTCGCGCGATGAAATCAAAACCAAAATTGTAGCGGCTTAAGCCATGCTAATTACCAGGGAACCACTTACGCGACGAAAGAAACAACAGGGGAATGGAGTGGTTCAGTATCCGGAATTTTGCGTTCACATGAGCAATTTATGCTCTCGAAATCAGAAGAGCCAAATGCCTGAATTACAACATTCGAATCAGCAAAGCAAACTTGATGAATTGTCAAACAAGACTTAGTAACATATGGACTTGAATCATCGAAGAGGTGAGTAATTTCAGATCGAAGAGCAGTCCCAGGATTATGGATAACCCAAGACACTTCGGGCTTAGGAAACGATTCAGCAGCAGCAATTAGCACCAGGTCTTCGCCCACATTCGGGACCATGTTGGGCTCTAGTGGC